ACACACACTCTTAACATAATATATATAAACTCTTATATATATAATATACATAAACTCTTAACATAATACACATAAACTCTTAACATAATACACATATATAAACACAAAAAATAAAACTATAACGGGATTAGACGGACGGAACGGTGTCTCTTAACATAATACACATATATAAACACAAAAAATAAAACTATAACGGGATTAGACGAACGGAACGGTGTCCGTTGCGTCAACTTTCTCAACTTAACGACGTCATTTTAAGTCAGGACACACAATGCATTGTGCACCCTAGTACACGATATAATTTACCTTAAATCACTACTAAACACTAACTATGATTTTGATTATCATTATGAATGTGTAAACTAACCCATTGAACTATACACACCCTTAGTATATGACTTAGAGAGTCATATTTGCCCAAGCCCAACGTCATTGGCCTAATATTTATATTTACCTTCACATTTTATATCATTTTTTATTTTCTACTAATATGACATATTTGAAATAATAATAATAATAATAATAATAATAATAATAATAATAATAATAATAATAATAATAATAATAAGTCACATTTAAAAAAAAAAAAGTCATTTGTATTATAAAATTACGACATATGATATGAATTTTATCTCTAAAAGTACACTTATTATTTTTCTAGTTGTCTGCTACATTCATCACACAATAATAATAATAATAATAATAATAATAATAATAATAATAATAATAATAATAATAATAATAATAATAATAATAATTGTTGTTGTTGTTGTTATTATTAAATAATTACTTATCATCATGATTACTAATAATATATTAATTAATTTTATATGATTCATGAACACGATTGTTACGGATTGTATTTATTTATTTCATTAAAATGATGAATATATACTTTATCAATTGTAATTACAGTCTCAATTATTTAATAAATATTTTAAATACAATTAATGAATTATGGTCCCTACAAAGACTAAATACAATAATACAGTATACCTCAAAGAAGAGAGAATCAACAACCATAAGTCCATAATAAAAGTGACTAATATATAAACCTCACTTAGTAAAATTTAAATTTGTTGTTAAGATTTCTGATTTTAAAATTTACTAATTTTTACTTTTAAAAAATTCAGAATTAAATCATGACTAAATTATATATCTCCGATCCAATGGCCAAGACGTTCAAGTTATAAGCATATATATGTACATTAATTAATTAATTTGTCCTTCTTTTTCTTTTTTTGCCTTTTCTGACAAAACAAAAGTTAACTACTAATTTAAGTATAATTTTTAGACGACAATATGGATATTATATACTTATATAGTCTATATGACATACTAAAAACTCTCAAATTGGGTTTTCTTGGTCGGTGTCTAGACTAGAAATTAGTCAAACATTGCAACTTAGAGGCTTTTTCTTGGCCGGCCTCATCCTAGCCGGCCTGGGTAAGTATTACACCGCAAATTATGCCATGGAATCGTGTTCACCTAGAATGGTGAACACAAGGCAAAACGACATCGTTTTTAGGCAAAAAAAAAAAAAATTCGCGGATGTGGAGTTAACGGCGCGCGTTTGATCAAATTATGAATTTTCTGTTATGAGATTATGAATTTTATGAAAGTTCATAATCTCATAACAGAAAATTCATAATCGCATAACAGAAAATTCATAATCTCACAACTGAAAATTCATAATCTCATAACAGAAAATTCATAATCTTATAACAGAAAATTCATAATCTCATGGTTCCAAAGTGAATGTGTAGGCATGGTTCCAAAGTAAAATGTGCAGGCATGGATTCATAATTTATGAATGTCCGTGATTTCGGAGGGGAATATGTAGGCATGGTTCCAAAGTGAATGTGCAGGCATGAATTCATAATTTATGAATGTCCGAAATTATGAATGTAATGAAAATTCATAATCTCATAACAGAAAATTCATAATCTCATAACTGAAAATTCATAATCTCATAACAGAAAATTCATAATCTTATAACAGAAAATTCATAATCTCATGATTCCAAAGTGAATGTGTAGGCATGGTTCCAAAGTGAATGTGCAGCCATGGATTCATAATTTATGAATGTCCGTGATTTCGGACGGGAATGTGTAGGCATGGTTCCAAAGTGAATGTGCAGGCATGAATTCATAATTTATGAATGTCCGAAATTTTTGTTCACCTCAAATTAAAGTGAAACCGCAAAATGTGAAAATAAAGAAGAAAAGTCACGCAATTAATTAAAAAAAAAAAAAAAGAAAGATAACGGTGTACTAACACCGTTAGAACCGTGTTCACCATGAATGGTGAACACGGTTCCATGGCATAACGTCTGGTATTACACTAGCTAGAATACTAGATACAGATTTGGTATATATTTATTGAGTCGTTATACCATGTACCAGTCGTTATGCTGTGCATCCGTATGCACCATGCATGGTGATGCCAAAACGATGTCGTTTTATTAAAAAACGCGCGTCTTCCTTTTAAAAAAAATTCAGATTTGATTCCCAGCAACAACATTATATTGTTCATTCATTCTAGAATTTTAGTTCATAGATTATGGAATTATAGTTCATTGATCATGGAATTATAGTTCATCGATTATGGAATTGTAGTTCATCGATTCTGAAATTTTAGTTTATAGATTATGGAATTTTAGTTCATTCATTCTGAAATTTTTAGTTCATAGATTAGATTATGGAATTATAGTTCATCGATTATGGAATTATAGTTCATCGATTATGGAATTATAGTTCATCGATTATGGAATTTTAGTTCATATGTTGTTGCTGGGAATCGAACCTGATTTTTTTTTTTTTTAAGGGGAGACGCGCGTTTTATTAAAACGACGTCGTTTTTGCATCCGTATGCACCATGCATGGTGCATACGGATGCACAGCATAATTTGCCGGTCCAACTTGCAAAGTGCACTTTAATCCTAAACGACGTATAAATTGTGTAATTTTTAACAATAAAATTGTAAATTTTTAGAATATAAATTATGTTTCTAAGTTAATACACATTACAACTGCATAAGGGGATTTGTGAATACAAGCATGGTCATCAAATTCTAATATGTTAATATTGTGTAATTGCAGTATTCAAAAGAAACTTGTGAATACAAAACAAGGTAATTATAAGGAATAAGGTTCAAATTGGCCACTGAACGTAACCTGAAAATGCAATTAGGCCACTGAACGAAAGCAATTAGGCCATTGAACACTAAAAAAATGTGCAATTAGGCCACTGAACTCTCCAAACGTATGCAATTTTACCGAATAGCAGGTTACCATCAATTTTAGCAGGTTACCTGCTTACGTGGCAGCTTAGTTGGCATTTTTAATAATTTTTAAATAATTGTTAATAATTAATTTTAATAATAAATTTTATAAAAAATTGGAAAAAATTAAATAAAAAATAAAATAAAGTCGTTTTTATTTTTAAAAAAAAAATTTAATAAAAAGTTATTATTAAAATTTATTAAAAATTAATTAAAATTTATTAAAAATGCCAACTCAGCTGTCACGTAAGCAGATAACCTGCTAAAATTGAGGGTAACCTGCTATCAGGTGAAATTGCACATTTTTGGAGTGTTCAATGGCCTAATTGCACTTTTTTTCGTTCAGTGGCCTAATTGCATTTTCAGGTTACGTTCAGTGGCCAATTTGAACCTTATTCCTAATTATAATTACATATATGTTAACGTTGTTTGTTAGTAGTATACAAATTGTAAATTTTTAAAAGGTAAATGGTGAATATTTGGACCCAGATTCACAAAATAATTTGCGATTTTATTATATGCAGATCGAGTTGGTATAGATTGTAGGTTGTAACTAGTAGGGAATTTTATTTGAAAATTATTTCCAAAAACTTCAGCCACACAATATTCACAAAATTAATCTAGGGGTGTGTTTGGTTGGTGTGTTTTGCCCGTAGGAATGGGTATGAAAGTGATTGTTGTTGTTTGGTTGATAGGTTTTTAGAACACTACTATGGGTTTCGAATACCTCATCAATTGAAAAACGCATACCCAAATACAATAAGGGTTTCATTCCCTTATTCGTTTTCAAGCACTACTATTAGTAACCATTCTCATTCCACCCTACTACCAAACATGTTAAATACTTTCACCAAAACCCATTATCATTACCAAGTATTTGATACCCATTCCGACTCCGATTTCTATGTGCGAACCAAACACACCCTAGGTGTGTGCACTTTATTGAATTACAGTATTCACAAAATTAATTATATACAAAGTTTCCTTAATTCTTAAAAAAAAAGTTGCAATTTTAACTTTTCGAGCAACAAAATTATTAAACTCGATTAAAAATTTACTTAGTACAAAGGTATTTTAAAATTTTATTAAATTTATTCTTTATAACTTTTAATTTATAGATTTGATATTTCATTTGTAAAATATGGATCAATTGACCATCTTCTTTCCTAACTTTTCTATTTTTGCGATTCATCGTCCCTAATTTTTCTATACAAATATATTAAAATCAAGTTTTTCTAATTTTATTTTACCAATGAAATATTGAGACATACAAAAGAAGATTATAACTAAGAAAAAATATTAAAAAGTACTAAAATATACATGTGCTAAGTAAATTTTAATAGAATGTAATAGTTTTGTTGTTCTTTTGAAGATCAAGACTTAGTGCATTAAATCACGAGCAATAGTGTTTACAAAAAAAGGGGTGGGTTGTCAAACCACTCCCCGCAACCAGACACAGAAAAGGTCTCCCTAGCAACAATGTGGGCGGCACTATTCGCAGTAATTTTAATAGAATGTAATAGTTTTGTTGTTCTATGAATTCAAATTGTGACTTTTTTTTTTTTTTAGAAAAGTTAAAAGAGTATATTGCAATGGTGGAACAGAATTTTTTTTCTCTCCCTGTGACCTAGGGTTTTCTTCGTCTCTCCCTGCGTTCTAGGGTTTCCCCGTACGTGCATGTGACGTTTCTGCCATTGGAGTTGTTGGTCTAGCTTCGATGGACGTCCAGGAAATAATAACACATACTGCCGACATCTCGCTGGATAAAGAAGAGCAAGGCGTCCGTTTTGAGGATGAGGAGCTCGGCGTCCAAACCCTGCCGGCGTCGAGGCAGACATGGTCCGTTGTTGGCCGATTTTTAACGGATAGAATTCTCAAGACCGAGGTGATGAAGCGTGTTATGGCTTCGGCTTGGAAGCCTCTCATGGGTATTGAGATAACGGATGTGCAGCCTAATTTGTTTTTGTTCACCTTCTTTGATGAGCCGGACATGAGGCGTGTTATGGAGGAGGGACCTTGGGCGTTTGAGAATGCGACGCTGCTATGCCAAGTCTTGAACGATGGTGATGATCCGCTACAGGTTAGTCTGAATTCCGTGGATTTATGGGTACAAGTTTCGGACATCCCCCAGGGATACCGCACGGTGAAAGTTTTGGAGAGAATTGGGGACTATGTTGGGGTTTTCTTGCGTTATGATGAACGAAACTTTGAGCGGCAATGGACTTCCTTCTATAGAGTTAGAATCACCCATGATGTTTCAAAACCCTTAAAACGGAGGATGAAGATGATTCTGAGGGATGGATCGTCGACATGGATTAATTTTAAATATGAACGCCTCCACATGTTTTGCTTCTTCTGTGGTAGGATGGGTCACACGGATAAGTTTTGCTTGCAAGCTCGCCGGTCGTTGTTGAAGCCGGAGCAGTATCCGTTTGGTGTATCGATGAGGGCGGGGGGTTCGAGCCCGGTGAAGGAGTTGGGAGAAAAATGGTTTCGGCTGGGTCAAGAAAGGAGACGGGAGATTGGCTATGGGGGTGAGGGTGGGAGATTGGCAGTGGGTGTTGAAGTTAGAGGGGAAGGGCAGTCTCGGGTGGAGGTGGGCATGGTTACGGGTGGGGTGGTTTCGGGAAGTAAGAGTGTGGATGGAATGGGCGGTGAGAGTGTTGGTGGTGAGGGAGAGGGAGTGAGGGTGGATCCGAAAAGACGGAGGATGGAGGGTGGAGAGGTGAGTGCTTTGAATGGGAATATGGTTGTGGATTCTGATTCTTTATTTATGGCGGGACCTGTGGATCAGGTCCGCCGGTCCCAATGAGTACCTTAAGTTGGAACTGTCGTGGCTTAGGTAATCCACAGACAGTTCGCGAGATTGAGGACATGGTGTCCTCTAAGAAACCCGATTTTGTATTTCTCATAGAAACCAAGGTTGACCGGGATCATGCGGAGCGGCTTCGGGTTAAGCTTGGTTTTGATGGACTCTTTTGTATTGATAGTTCTGGTTTGAGTGGTGGATTGGCTCTGTTGTGGAGGGCAAATAATACAGCGAGATTGATAAGTTACTCCACAAACTATGTGGATGTTGAAGTGACTATACCGGGGTTTGAAAAGTGGAGAATGACTAGATTTTATGGCTTTTCACAGAGGGGTCAAAGGAGAGACTCGTGGGACCTTATTCGATCTTTAGCTGGCAGGTCAGATCTACCGTGGGTGATGATTGGAGACTTTAATGATTTACTATTTCAATCTGAGAAGCGAGGTGGAAACCCTCACCCTGAGAGACTGTTGCATGGTTTCGATGAGACTATAGAGGAGTGTGGCCTAGCGCAGATGCATATGATGGGATATCCGTTTACTTGGGAAAAAGGAAAATGCACACCAAATTGGATAGAGGAAAGATTAGACAAAGTTTTGGCTAGCCAGAGTTGGCGTGAGAACGTGCCGGATGCTAGTGTGCAAAATATTCTAACCCGAAAGTCCGATCATTCTGCTCTTTTCCTTGGGATTCTGAATCTTCGGGAAAGAACGGGTGGTTTGAGGAGAGGGTTTCGCTTTGAGATGGCATGGCTCCACGATGAAGGATGTAGAGGTGTGGTGGAGAGGGCATGGAGTGAAGGTGCAGGAAGGGGGTTGCAGGAGTGTATCTCTCTTTGTGGAAATCGTTTGATGCGTTGGGGAGGTGAACGGTTTCATAAGTTTGGTGAGCGGTTTAGGAACCTACGGAAGGAGCAACTTCGTCTGAGGGGGTGTAATGACCCGGCCTCATTAGCTGAGTTCCAACGGTTGGAGGAGTGCCTGTGTCGTATTGAAGTCCAGGAGGATGCATACTGGAGGCAGAGGGCCAAACAGCATTGGCTTAAGAACGCGGACGCAAACACGAAGTATTACCACAGGTATGCATCTCATCGCAAGAAAAAGAATACTATTTTGAAAATTATGAATGATAGTGGGGATTGGGTGGAGGGTGAGGCCATGAGGAATGTTGTCTACAACTATTATAAGACTATCTTTACCTCCGGCTCTCCAAGTGGTAATGGGGAATTCTTTGGAAGTATAGCCTCTCGTGTAACGCACGTGCAGAATCTGTCGCTCCTGCGGCCTTTTGATGTTAGTGAGGTTAGGAGTGCACTGTTTTCTATGTTTCCTGACAAGGCACCAGGACCGGATGGAATGAATCCGGGGTTCTACCAGCATTTTTGGGATGTAGTGGGTGGTGATGTATCGGACCATATTGTGAATTGTCTTAATACCCACTCGTTTCCTGCTCGTCTGAATGATACGAATATAATATTAATCCCCAAGAAGAAATCCCCTGAGTTGGTCTCGGATTATAGACCAATAGCACTGAGTAATGTGGTATACAGGATTATGGCCAAGGTTATAGCTGCCAGGATGAAACCACTTATGGGGGAAATTATATCAGACACCCAGAGTGCTTTTATATCTGACAGGTTAATAACAGATAATATTTTGATTGCTGCTGAAGTTAGGCATTATCTGAACAGAAAGCAATGTGGAATCACAGGATGGGGGGCTTTGAAACTGGATATGGCGAAAGCCTATGATCGGGTGGAGTGGCCCTTCTTGCGTAGTATGATGATAGCTTTGGGCTTTGATGAGAGGTGGGTGGAACTGATAATGCTATGTGTAACCTCAGTTTCGTATAGTATACAGGTTGGTGGGACGCGAAGTGAGCAGATCACGCCGACTCGTGGATTGAGGCAGGGTGATCCACTGTCACCTTATCTCTTTATTATTTGTGCTGAGGGTCTTTCATTGCTACTACAACAGGCACAGTTGAGGGGAGATCTACATGGGTGCAGAGTAGCTAGGGGAGCCCCCCTATATCCCATTTATTTTTTGCAGATGACAGTTTACTCTTTTTTAGAGCAACTGCGCAGGAGGCCTGGGTGGTTAAACAATGTTTGTCGCTGTATGAGGAAATGTCCGGGCAAGCAGTGAATTACTATAAGTCAAGTATTTGCTATAGTAAGAACACGCGGGATGAACACAGAGAGGAGATTGCCGGTATCTTGGGAGTGGTGCAGGCTCCGAATTTTGGAAAGTATTTGGGACTTCCATCGTTTGTGGGCAGGAATAGGAGAGCAGTTTTCTCATATATTGATGATAAGATTAGGCAGCGTATTGGGTCATGGAATAAGAAGTTACTTTCACAGGCGGGTAAGGAAGTCTTGTTGAAAAGTGTGGCACAATCTATGCCCACCTTTTCTATGAGTGTCTTTTTACTACCTATGAATATTTGCACAGCTGTTGAGAGATCTATGAATCGATACTGGTGGAGATCTAAAGATGACCAGGGCATCCATTGGAAGGCATGGGATAAATTATGTATCATTAAGAAGTATGGGGGATTGGGCTTTAAGGAGTTGCATGCCTTTAATTTAGCTATGTTGGAAAACAGGCCTGGCGATTGCTCACCAAACCTGAATCGTTGGTTTCCAGAATATTTAAGGCCAGATACTATCCTAAGGGGACATTCTTTGATGCTTGTATAGGGAATAACCCAAGTTTCTGCTGGCGTAGTATTATGGCTGCCCAGGAGTTAATTCGTGGAGGAGTTAGGCGCAGGATTGGGGATGGGAAAACAACTCTTGTATGGGATCATCCATGGCTACAGGATGAAACTAACGCGAAAGTAATGACTGAGAAACCACCATACTTGGCTCAGGCAACTGTTATGGGGTTAATAGATCAGGAAACGACGACATGGGATCATGATATTTTAACAGATATTTTCGATCCGGAGGATGTGGCACGAATATTGAAAATACCTGTGGCACCGGATTATGAGGATATGTGGTATTGGTATGGTGATATAACGGGAGAGTACTCGGTTAAAAGTGGATATAGACAAATAGTGGGGAATTATGTTCAAACGACAGGGATGTTTGATAAATGGCCCAAATTGTGGAAGCTCAAAGTACCCCCGAGATGGAAAGCATTCTTATGGAGAGCCTTGAATGATATACTACCCACAACAAGGAACCTCATTATAAAGAGAGTGGAGATTAGCCCAACATGTGCTATGTGTGGGGTTATGCATGAGGATGTTATGCATTCTTTGGTTAGATGTGATTATACAAGGAGCATTTGGGCACAATCTCACCTTCCAATTCCCAGTACTATCACAGATATTTTCCATGTTTGGTTTAATGAGATATTAAATATTCTAGATGATGATGGAACTATTTTTGCAGTGGGCCTGTTATATTATATATGGCGGGCGAGAAATGGAGCTGTGTGGGATGCATGCTTGCCCAGACCACGGAAGATAATTGCAGCTGTAATCGCAGCGACCTGGGCATGGCAAGTTGCACACCCGGACCGCATACGGCCCCAGCCAACTCCGCATGGACCGGCCACGGTAACACCCATACAGCGCCAAGGGCCGGAAAGGCAGTCTGCTGCCGTGACTGCCGCAGCACACATGGCCACCTTCCCACGGATAACTCATGGAACTATACGGAATAAATGTTTTTTTGATGCGGCGTATTTCCATACCACAAATAAGGCCGTTGTTGGGGCAATACTCCTAGACGAACACGGATCGTATATCTCAGCTTTTCAAGCACCGTTGATAGACTGTTTATCCCCGCTTATGGCAGAAACGATTGCATGTAAGGAAGTGCTATCTTGGTTATGGGATCGTGGAGAGAGATCGGTAGGCATCCTGACGGATTGTCTGACATTACAACAATATTTAACACTTGCCAAGGAATCACCTCGTTCGTACCTCGGCTATGCCATTGACACTTGCAGAAACCGAATGGTTTCCTTTGATTATGTTTCAGTCAGTTTTGTTCCTAGATCAGATAATTATTTAGCACATGTTTTAGCCACTTCGGCCGTTAATTATTCAGCAGCTATGTATTCGGACTCTGATCCGCCAGACTCTATTTCAACGTATTTCCAATAAATGCCGCGCAGGCTCCTTTCAAAAAAAATATTGCAATGGTGAAAATTTAAAGACTAAAATAACTAGTAAAAAATAACTAAAAATACCTTTTTTCACCTTTTCTAAGTCTAGATTCTAGAAAGATGGAGAAGTAGATTGACTGATAAAACTTTTCAAAGGGATTTTTGTACGTAACAAACTTCAATTAAAAAAAAAAATCTTGAGAAGAATTAAGACGCCAAGTTGGCTAATTTATTAGCTTCTTCTTGTATAGTTGTCCGTTGAGTGTTGACATTATATTTAGTTAGTTTATAGTATTTTGATATAGACTTTGTTTTAAAATAAAGTTCTTTTTACTCATTGTAACGTAAGGTACAAATGAATTATATTATGCATTTTTTCTCACACAATTATATCATTAGGTAAAAAGTACAAATAATTTATATCACGCATAATTCATCTTAATTTACCAAACTTTAGTATTACATTTAAAAAAAAAAATCAATGTATCAATATTTTCATATCCTACAAGTTGAAATATAGATATGTCATATTTACTAAAAATTTCAATCAATATTATTTTTTAGATTCTTTAGAATGTAAATATATTATTATAAATGCAATTATGGAGAAACTTTTCTTTTTTCATTAGGAGACATTAACATAAAAGGGAAAAAAATATTGCATTAAATTTACAACATTTTTTAACTTTTGTAACATAAGTTAAGAGAATTGAGTAATTTTCAAAAGATAAAAGGGTAAATTTAGAAAATAAATGTAAGAGGTACAATGAAGTAAATACAAAATATAACATATCAATAATTTTTTTTTTTAAAATAACATATCAATAGAATCTATGCTTCAACACAATTTTTTTTTGGAAGATTATTTTGGTTTAACTATATTTGTTAGGTCGTCTTTAATTTAACCCTGAAAGGATGCCTCTTTCAATCTGATGTGATTTAAAAAAAAAAAATTAGTTTTATTTTGTAAGCTATGTGGCTTGCAAAATTTGCTAAAGTATCAAGTTTGCATATGATAGCCTTTTGTGCATTATTTTTAAAAATATTTTATTACTATATAACCGTCTTGTCCATAGTCAAATAATAATCGCCAAACATCCCATTATGTGGTCAAACCTATAAAAACACTTGATAAAAAATATATGACACGTGGAGGACATGCCGAATGACTAACATGTGTCCCCTCTCTCTATATAAGAGACATTCATTGCACTTTTTATTACAAAAATTCACAACCAAGGGTTGAGGATAAATATCAAATTATCAATAGATTCGAGTTGACTAACGTAGGAGATGGTGTGAATGAGCATGAGGCCGGTTGTGGATATAGTGGTGTGTGGAAGGCTATTGGGCTGTACATCTGAGCTGTTGCAGTTGACTTTTTATCATGTGGGACACCCACTTTATGCATACTGTACAACTCTGTGGTTGCGCATTGCCCTCCCTATGCCTCCTCCGGATGACCGATCATCTCCCAATTTAACACTATGTTAACATAGTCATTCTGCATTAATCGTGTGATGCATAATTGACCAAAACCAAGCATATAATTAAAGGTTGTTCATTTGTGTTTATCCCTACTATCATCAATAGGTGTACCCAATAGAGGGAATCACTAAAGTTTTTTTGCTATTTTTAGTTTGAATTTGGTATAGAATAATCATATTGAATTTTAGTTAATGAAGAGTTGGTAGTTGAGTGTCTCACAAGTAGTTCAGTTGATTTATTGGTGTCAAATTGTGGGCAAGAACGTAAGATTGAGTCTCAGCAATCGCAATGTAGGAGTCACACCAGCTCTATGGCACCAAGTATTGATCCTTTTATCTAATGGGGGCTGAGTCACTGTGATTTACCACTAGTTAAGTTTCGTAGACTCTATGCTACGCTTGTAATCATCCAAATAAAGTCACTAATCATGACTAACTTAACATCATCATCCCCGGAGCTTAACATAGTGGTTCGTCATCTGATTTATTGTGACTTAATGTTACGATTGAAGTCACTAATCACGACTAACTTAGCCTCTTCATCCCCGAAATTTAGCGTAGTAGTTAGTTACCTGACTTATTGTGACTTAATGTTTCTATTGAAGGTGACAACTGACAACGAGTTAAAATCTCGAAAATTAGGATCTGAATGGTGAATTAAAAAAAAAATCTAAAAATTAATCAGAAGAAGTTGGAATAACCTAAGTATTTAAAAAAACCACTATTCACGGGCTGGTTGACCCTTCTAGGACATAAGCTAAATTTCTTGGTGTATAAAGATGGAGTTTCATTAATGGTGTTACTACTTTTGACCAATTTAAGCTCTCTTAGCTCCTCTAGTAATTGCATCAAGAGGAAAACAAGAGATGGATTGGGGATTCAGATATTCCATTTTCGTCTATGCAATACTTTTCTTCCAGCTTGTAAGCCAAGGCAGTGGGAGTAGAAAGATCCTGGAAATGAATACACATAAACATTCAGATTCAGCATCGCATATGGGTGATGATCGAATGGATCCCGAAGTCAATATCTTCTTCACTCCCGATGATCTCAAGACGGGCAAAACACTGCAGATCTTCTTCGCCGCCGTCGGAGACGCCTCGGCGTCGTCTCCTCGTCTCCTCTCCAGGGCGGACGCCGATTCCATTCCATTTTCATCGGCCGAGCTTCCGCATCTCCTAGACCTCTTCTCCTTCTCCCCAGCCTCGCCGCAGGCGAGAGCGATGGAAGAGACGCTAGGGCACTGCGAGTTCCCGGCGATGAAGGGCGAAACGAAGTTCTGCGCCACGTCTCTGGAATCGCTGCTGGATTCGGTTCGCGGAATTCTCGGATCGGGGTCTCGGATCAGAGTCGTGACCACGGAATTCGTCACCAACCGCTCCGCCGCGGCGGCGGCGGTGCGGAATTACACTATTGTGGGAGCTCCGAGGGAGATTCCGGCCCGGAAGATGGTGGGATGTCACAGCTTGCCGTACCCTTACGCGGTGTTCTACTGCCACAGCCAAGAGGGCGACACCACCAGAGTTTTCAAGGCTTCGTTGGTGAGCGAGAATGGAGAGGAAAGAGCGGAAGCCGTCGCCGTCTGCCATATGGATACCTCGCGGTGGAACCGCGATCACGTCTCGTTTCGCGTGCTGGGAATCCGGCCGGGAAGCTCCCCGGTTTGCCATTTCTTCCCACCTGACAATCTAGTTTGGGTTTCCTCAGATTCTCACGATTTCTAGTGCACCACGGTACTAGTAATCGGGCATCAGTATTATTACTGGATTTGTATTTACATATTTGTATTTGGTATTGAATAGAGCTTAATTCTATGAATAATTTTACATACACTAGAATTTTCTTATCAAATTTGATATGTTTTGACTAATTTTAGTTTATGTATATGTCAATGTCTATCACTTTAGAACGTTAGTTGAGTTGTAAGTTGTAATAAAGTGATTAGTGATACATTGATTACTTTCTAATAATCTTTTACTATCTTTTCTGGTTGAAAAGAATTATAATGATTTGAATTTAAATTTCATGAAAAAAAACTATTTAAAATATTAATTATATTATTATTGATTTTTATTTATGAGAATATTGGTCCAAAAACAATGTCGTAGTAGTGTCTTGTCTTTCATATATATATATATATATATATATAAAAGAGAAAATTACACTTTTGGTCCTATGACTATAGTGGAGGTGGTAATTTCAGTTCGTGACTTTTAAAACTAACAGATTTAGTCCTTTTAGTAAGCTTTTTTTTACACATTAAGTCCTTCCGGCCAAATAACCGGTGAATTTTGGCCGAAAAAACACAATCCCTTAATTTATTAAATATTTGGGGGGTAAAATGGTCAATTCAGATTCTTCTTTCTTCTTCCTTCTTCTTCCTTCTCCTTCCTACTTCTTCGTTCTTCTTCTTCCTTCTTGTATTTGGGGGGTAAAATGCACTGATGTTTGCGTTTTGTCACGTTCTAACGTTGTCCCAAGGATCCTCTATCATGCTATTATCGAACTAAAATGAGGAACAAGTATGCATTGAATGGCAGCATCTTCATGGATTTCCTCTTACATTTCTTCTGCATGAAATTGTCGCTCTGCCAGCAGTATCGTCAGCTTGATCGCATGGGATTTGACGTTGGCTTAGGTAAATATATATATATATATATATATATATATATATATATATATATATATATATATATGTGTGTGTGTGTGTGTGTGTGTGTGTGTGTGTGTGTGTGTGTGTGTGTGTGTGTGTGTGTGATGATTGTTGGATTCTGCTATGGAAAAATCAAACATTTAAATTCTTAATTGTTACCTGTTATGCGTCATATATCACATATCATATAATTAACAACTATTAAGAGATTAAAAATAGTGTTTTTCCTTTTCCTAATTTAGTTGATTTGTTTATCAAGGATGGCATGCATATGTGGAGAAACAGAGAATAAATGCAACAGAAGCTGCAATTCAGTATACGCCCCCAAGGATGGATTATGGGATGTATAGATAAGAAGAAAAATACTTGAAATATTTAAATGTGTTTAAGAAGAAAAATACTTGAAACATCAGTGCATTTTACCCCCCAAATACAAGAAGGAAGAAGAAGAACGAAGAAGTAGGAAGGAGAAGGGAGAAGAAGGAAGAAGAAAGAAGAATCTGAATTGACCATTTTACCCCCCAAATATGTAATAAATTAAGGGATTGTGTTTTTCCGGCCAAAATTCACCGGTGATTTGGCCGGAAGGACTTAATGTATAAAAAAAAGTTTACTAAAAGGACTAAATCTGTTAGTTTTAAAAGTCACGAACTGAAATTACCACCTCCACTATAGTCATAGGACCAAAAGTGTAATTTTCTCTATAAATAATGTATCGCTTCAAAACGACGTCGTTTTGTTTAATGAAAAGAAACGGCATCCGTTTTGCGTTGTTCCGCAAAAAGTAACTCTGTTATTCAGTTCATTTTGTATACATTACAATTTTAGTTCAACACAACTAAAGTTTCATTTCGATATAACTATAGTTTCATTCGATAATTATACACTCAAATATGTGAAAATGTTATTTAATTTTATTTTATATACACTATAGTTTCATTAAAACACAACTACATGATCATTTTGATATAATTACAATTTCATTGTACAATATACACTCAAATATGTGAAATGTTATTCAGTTTCATTTTATATACACTGCAGTTTCATTTCACTATAACTACAGTATCATTTTGATATAATTGCAGTGTCGATTTAGATATACTGTAATATCAGTTGGTGTTTAATACACCAAACAAGCGGACTCTGTTAACTATAACGGCGGACCGTCTCTTTACTTAAAGAAACGACGCTGTTTTTGACCGCGGTGGTCTATGATAAAACGACTGGTTACTAATTGGACCTACTAAAAAATAAAGGTCCAAAATTTTCGTTTCCAAGTTGCGCTGCCGAGGAATTAATACAAAAACGCACCAAAGCCCAATAAAAGTGGGGATCCGAAATTCTTATCCGGGTTTTACCAGAAGTCTGAGAAGCAGCTTGATTTTGCTCTATCGCATACGCTCGAGTGCTCGACCCTTTCGCTGCAGTGCCGGAAATGGCAGCATCAACCATTACAGCGCCTTCTAAAGCTTCAATCGCCTCACTTCACCGACCAACGTCGCTTCGCTCTTCGCCGCCTCTGTTCTCCCGCAGGTAATTTTATTATTTTTAGCTTCTAATTTACGTTTTCTGTTTGAATGCTACGGAGTATATACTGATTAAGAATTTTTTTTTTCTTTGTTTTTTTGTAGAAGCTTAGGGAAACAAATAGCGTCTGCGCTTCCTAGCCACAGTTTTGATTCCTCAAAAATCGGTATTCTCAGTATTTGCTGAAATCTGGAGTTTAAATTATTGGTTTGAACTTGAATATTTGACAAAAGTTATTATTTTTGTGAAATCTTCAGGACTATCCAGTAAGGTGCAGGGATTGCGCTTAAAACTTGGTCAGAACAACCCAAAGGCTGATAATAATCGACGGTTTGTTTCTCTTAGCCTGTTAGAGGATCATGATAGTTGGAAAGATGTTCTGTACATATCTGTATATATGTGGTTGTGTTTTTGGAATTTTGGTTGCTGTGAATCATACATTTTCCATTAGGGTTAATATCCTTTTTAGCACTTTATAGACTCTAGCAATATGCAATAGTGTGGAAAACAAATTAGCCATAGTGTAGTGCTTAATTACGTTTTTGTAATCTGTTTGTCAAGAAATAACTTAATTTCACCAAAAAGTATTTTTGTTGGATTATGCTTTGTTTTTTTAGATGTAGTTTTCAGTTAGAGCTAGGGATATTAATTCTCTAACATATCATAAAAAGATATTAATTCCCTGATGTAGTCAGTTTTTTTTGAGCAGTTATGGCACTATTGAAGCTAGAAGGGGAAATCCACCTGTAATGCCTGCTGTGCTGACACCAGGTGGCGTATTGGATCTATCAATGGTATTGTTTAGAAATCGCATTGTCTTCGTTGGACAACCAGTCAACGGACAAGTTGCTCAAAGAGTCATATCACAACTCGTAACACTAGCAACAATTGATGAAAATGCTGATATTTTGGTATGGCCTTTTTCATATGTTTGTTATCTCTAAAGCGGCATCACATCTTATAAGTATTGCTATGCTCTTCCCAATTGCAGATGTATATTAACTGCCCAGGCGGAAGCACGTATTCTGTGATGGCAATATATGACTGCATGTCCTGGGTAAGACTGCAACTAATTTATTCCATTAGTTAACACTTGAGCACCTACAGTCATAGGTAACTTGTATGAATCATTATTGGCATCTCAGATTATGAACTATACTTGTCTTCCTGGAAGTTATATTCCCCTGATAATTATGTCTATAGCTATCATTTCATTCAGATAAAGCCTAGGGTCGGTACAGTATGTTTTGGAGTTGCTGCAAGTCAAGGGACACTTCTTCTTGCAGGTGGGGAAAAGGGTATGCGGTATGCAATGCCAAATGCACGTATTATGGTACATCAACCACAAAGTGGATGCGGGGTATGTATTACTTAACTAAAAGAATATTGTTATGTCCTCCTGCAGGATCAAACAAACTGCATTTGTAAATTTAATATTATAAGATATAAAAATTAGGCTTCAAACATTCAACTTTAAAGTAGATGCCTGATTCTGCTCTTTACTGCTGCAGGGTCATGTGGAGGATGTGAGGCGCCAAGTGAATGAAGCGGTTCAATCTCGCCATGTCAGTTCATTTGATCTCTGTAGTATTTCTTTTGAATTTGACACTGTTTTGCTGTTTTCTCAAGTTTCGAATTTGAAATTGAGCATCTCTCTGTTTAAGTCTGTTGGATGGCTCTGTGGGGGGTGGGATGAATGTTTAATCACTATCCCATTACCAATTGACTCTTGGCTCCGACCTCTGATATTTGCACATAGTTAATCAGCCTAATTTAGAAGTGGAATCCCTTTCTGTTAGATCTTTAATCTTTTAAGCTAACATCATAAAATCTGGTTCCATATTGATCCAAACAGGGATTGATGACATTTTACTACTTTGATCATGTGCTAGGGCCTTAAGCGGGGAGTTAATACTACTTAGTTATAGGCATATAGCCAAGGCTTCTACTCGATTTCTTTTAACTTTAAACCTTTTCTTTTATTTCACAGAAAATTGACAAAATGTTTGCTGCCTTTACCGGCCAACCACTTGAGAAAGTTCAAGACTTCACCGAACGGGATTATTTTATGTCTGCTGCTGAGGTAAACATTAACTATTATATAGTTTTCCTTGTATTGCAGACTATTTGCAGTTTTCCTTGATTCTAGCTTCAAGATCTCCAAATGTATGCTTCAAGGAAAAAAATGTCTAAGAAAATTTTTCCTAGGGAAAAATACATTTTTGGTCCTCTAGCTATACCCGTGGTACAGACTTAGTTCCTGAGTTATGTGTGTGACCATCTTTAACCCCTAAATTATGTATGAAGTGGCGATTTTAGTCATTGAAGGACCAAATCAACCACTTCATTAAGGGACAAATTGGTGGTAGAAATAGTCTCCAGGGGACCAAAATCGCCACTTTGTGCATAACTCATGTGTTAAAGATGGTCATGCATATAATTCAGGGACTAAGTTTGTACCACGGGTATGGGTGAAGGACTAAAAGTGCAATTTCCCCTTTTTCTTATCCTTGAATGTCATTTAAGCAAATCTCACACCTTATCATAGTAGTGCTAACATTTTCCTTTTGCTCTCTTGACCACTGCATTGCAGGCTATGGACTTTGGGCTTATTGATGGGATACTGGAAACTGAATATTAGATGGAAGATATGATGTTCTGATGAAGATCATCTGTTGCTGTGCCCAGACTTTGTAAAGGAGCTTAACCTAAATACACCTAGCCAGCAGCTATTTTGTCCTTCACGTTTTACCTTTAGGACCTCCTTTTGTACCAAAATTATTCAACTCAATGAAAGTGGAATATCTTATTTATTTGTATTATTATATTTTCATTAATCTCAAGGCCAATGTGGATTTATTTGGCTACTTAATGTCATCTGATAAATTTAATTTTTTGTCACCTATTTAGATTATTATATATAAACTTCCCTTATATGGGTTTAACAAATATATTATGGACAACACTTTCTTAGTTTATTTTGACCAACAACTCATTAGTAATTTGTAATAAGTTATTGCTTATTTAGAATTTGTATTTTATAATCATAAACCATAATGTTAAGCTTTGTACGTTTGTAATTGAATACATTATCTAAATGGTCTTGTTAACTATAATGCTTTAATTTTTTTATTTTTTTAGAATACATAATGTGGGTAAGTTGATGGGTTTTAATTAACATTAAAAGCTCTTATAATTCAGTCATACATTTTTAAAAAAAATAATGTATACAAAAATGTGACAAATTATACTATAGACCATGATTCACATTGCAATATGGATCATAGACAAATATTTATTTTTAATATACTGAATGTTCATATTTAAATTATTGAACTTTTATTATATACTAATAATGAATCTGATGTGAATTGTCTATTTGGTAAAATGAACCATAATCCATTATATAATGAATAATGATTGACAAAATGTTGCGCTTGGAAGAAGCATGGTGAATGTGATAATCGGGGACAAAATTGAATTAGACCTAAGGTTAGGGCACGTTGTCTAAATTAAGCATAGTTAAAGGGCGAAAAAGAAAGAAAAAAGATGGCGAAAAATCCGAAGGCCTTAACTAAAAAAGGAAAAGAAAAGACGACACTAAAAAAAAGGGGAAGAAAACGGTTAGAAGTTGGAAATTTGGAACCAAAAAGAATTGAGAAAGGCGCGCGATGTGCTATCAGCCCGTAAACCGGCGAACAGCCACGAAGCAATCACGGCCGTCCCACCACCATCTTCATTCTCCACCACCCACCCTCCGTCTCTACTCACAATCCTTTCATTTTCCTTACACTCGCGTTTCTACCCCATTTCTTTTGACTTGCTACTCCAATTTCTCTGTAAATTTTATACATACAGTTGATCTGCATTGATGCAGAGGCTATACGGAAAATGGCGTTGGAGTGTTGATCGTGTTGTGAAACTTTCACTTGGATGTATATAATTTTTTTTTTTAGAATTGGTTGCTAGATAGTTTTGTTCCTTAGCTTTGACGTGAGGATTGTTGTTGGGAATGGAGTCGTTGATCGAGCTATGTGATTTGATTTCTGAATACCCTGTTCAATTCGAAAAGAAATTAGTTTGGATATGTGGGCGGTGTCCATCGGCCGAGGCACTCCTCGGGGGATCCCCCAGCGTTTCAAGGTATCAGCTAAACGCCGTTCTCGCTCTGACTCGATTCCTGTCTAGGTGCTCCAATTGCACAGACGAAAGGCCGAAATCGCTGGTCGTAGCCTTTTTTCGCTCCATTCCTTCTTCTTTTACTCAGTCTTTTTGGCCACCATCGTTTCCACCCGATGCAATCGTTTCCTTCTATAATGATTTCTTGGGATATCTCTCCAAAGCGTCGGAAATGTCTTCGGATTTCGCGACAGATGTTGAGGGATACACAGGGCTTGTGCTCACGTCTGCTATATCCAGGAAAGGAGATGTGAAGATATCCAGGGTTTTCATGAATGCCATGGCTCGTAACTTTCCTCCTATACAACCCTCTGATGCAAATAAGTTAATTTCCGTTCTGATTGAGAAGTTTGACATCCCTGTTCCAACCTCTCCAAGAGATGGAGCTAGTAGTAATGGGAGCAGTGGTGTTTGGAAGAGCAATATGGATTTACTGGCTGCAAATATGGGTTACAATGATGATGTAGCCGGAGCCCAAAGGCAAGCCATTACCGCTTTTGAGGAGGAGGCTGTAGAGAGCCTTGAGAAGCGAGAAATTGCTTTCCAATTAATAGGACACATAATGGATAAAGTAACAATTGATGCCACACTTTTGGAACAAGTGAGAGGTATTGCCAGGGAGCAACTTCATTCAATGGTGTCATTTCTAAAGGTAAAATGAAAAGCTGTGAATTATCTATTGTTTTCTTTGCATTTGATATCTCTGTGAAGGAAAGAGGCTAGTTTTTTTTTGAAAGAACTTGTTCAATGCTTGGTTTCTTGCAGATACGGAAAAGTGACTGGTCAGATCAAGGACAACATCTGAAAGTTAGGATCAATACAAAGCTTTCAGTTTACCAAGCAGTTGCATGGTTACAGATTAAGACACTTTCATCTCTTGATTCTGATGCAAAGTCATCAAAGAGGTTTTTGCATGGAGCACTTGCACTATTGATTGAGGCTGCTGAAGCTTGTTTGTTGTCAATGTGGCGAAAGTTGAGAGCTTGTGAAGAGCTGTTCAGCTCCTTGCTTTTCGGAATCTCCCAAGCTGCTGCTGCTCGAAGTGGTCAGCTACTCCGTGTGTTGTTAATTCGGTTTAAACCTCTTGTGCTTGCTACATGTGCTCGGGTATGCTGGTATTTGCTTCTTGTTGCCTGAATTACCTCCAATGCTGATTGCACACCATAGTAAAATTTTCTTGCTGTGTCATCTTTACCCACAGGCTGACACTTGGAGCAGTAACCAGGGGGCCATGTTTGAGAGTGTACTGAAGACAAGCTGTGAGATAGTTGAACTTGGATGGCAAAAGGATCGGTCTCCTATTGAAACATTCATAATGGGTCTAGCTACGAGTATACGGGAAAGGAACGATTATGGGGAAGAGGTAATGTAATGTTTGACAATGACATTTTTGAAGGAAACAAAATATGCATTTATTTCAAATTGAGAATGCATACACTTATGTGTGGGTCTACCAAGTAACTGTCAAATCTTGCTAGACTTAGAAAACCCAAGTCAGATGAGTGCTGACATGGTTTGTCGAGACTATAGTCAATAAAACAATAGGTGTACTAAGAAAGGTATATACACTTATATGTCATCCATATACATATAATATAGACAAATATCTACAAGCCAAATGAATTATTTGTCTATTTGTATATCTGTGTACTCATCACCTTACCCATAAATAAACACATGTTCTGTATTTTTTAAAGCTAGTTAGCTGATTAAATTACCTATACTTACATAAATTTGGCAACAGATCTCTCAAAAAAGTTCATATAGCATATCCATCTTCTCCCTTTCCAGTGTTATATACTTCTATGTAGGATTCCCTCTGAGGCAAAAAGTATTCTTTTGAGTGTGTAGAACAGGAGAGAGAAATTGGTTTAATGCAGAGAGCTGCTCATTTTGCAGGATTATTGAGTTGTCTGCACTTTCTTTTGTCAGTTTTCCTGTCTTCTCTCTCCCTATAAAGGCTTGATTGATTACATAATGGACTTGAATTGGAAGCATATTTCCTGATTGTTTGTTCTGTTTTCAATTGTGATTTTTGCTTATTATGATTGCTATGCCTTTTGTATGACTATATTTTCAGCAAGAGAAGGAGAAGCAGGCAGCTCCTCCTGTTCAGCTCAATGTTATACAGTTGCTAGCTGATCTGAATGTCTCAGTTAACAAGCCTGAAGTGGTAGACATGATTTTGCCAATGTTCGTTGAAAGTTTAGAGGAGGGCGACGCTTCAACGCCAGGCTTACTAAGGCTCAGAGTACAAATCTATCTTTTCTGGTGTAATTTAGTACACTTGAACCTTTTTTTCTTGTTAATTCCATTCTAACTTTCAAGCCCATCATTGACTAGCAACTGCCTTGAATCTTTTTCAGTCTCCTAACATTTGTTTCTTGAATTACTGCAGCTTCTTGATGCTGTTTCTCTCATGGCAAGTTTAGGTTTTGAAAAATCCTACCGCGAAGCTATTGTTTTAATGACACGCAGCTATATGAGTAAACTTGCTTCTATTGATTCTGCTGAAAGTAAAGACTTGCCTGAAGAAGCCACTAGAGAGCGTGTTGAAGTACGTTGCCTTCAAAATTTCATATTATTAATCATTTATCATTTAATTAATTTAGGAGGTTTTTTGGTCTACGGGGTGCTTACTTGTGCAATCACATTCTAGACACTTCCTGCAGGATTTCTTCAGATTGCCAGTGGGCTCACCAACCCCAAATTGCGCTTAGATTATCGTCACCGTTTGCTATCATTGTGCTCAGATGTGGGCTTGGCTGCTGAGTCAAAAAGTGGAGGGTAAGCCTCTGTTAGTGTTGGTGAAGAATGTCTTCTTTGTATTTTGTATTCAAGAAGCTAAGGAAACTTGGTTTTTTTTTTTTTTTTTTTTTTTAATAGGAGTGGAGCAGGTTTTCTTGGCCCTTTACTTCCTGCTGTAGCTGAGATATGTTCTGACTTTGATCCCACTTCAGATATTGAACCCTCATTGCTGAAGTTGTTTAGAAACTTGTGGTTCTACATTGCACTCTTTGGGTTAGCTCCTCCAATAACAAAAAATCAGGGTACAACAAAGTCTGCATCCACTGCTCAAAACAATGTTGGCAATACAGGAGCAACTGCACCTCAAGAAGTGGGCGGGACAAATGAGAATGCTCAGTGGTCTGTTGCTGTCCAGTGCATTTCACACGGGACTCCCCCTCTTGTAAGTTACTAATTTGCAAGAGATTCCAAAGGTTTCTGTTCTAACTATTTATCTGTATGAAACATATATGACATGCATTTCCTTAGTATAATCATAGTGTAATTGCAGGTTGTGTAATCATAGTGTAAAAATGTAAATATTGTGTAGAAAAGTAGAAGCTTTAATTAAAAATTATATTGATTCGTTAATACTAACACACTTTTCATCAGGTTGTGAGCTCCGTGAAATGGCTTGAAGATGAGTTGGAACTCAATGCTCTTCATAACCCAAGTAGCAAAAAAGGAAGTGGAAATGAGAAAGCTGCTCTTAGTCAGCGGACTGCTCTTTCTGCCGCATTAGGAGGACGTGTAGAGGTTTCAGCAATGAGCACAATTGCAGGTTTTGTTGATTATTATTATTATTATTATTATTTTATTTTAAAAATGTGAATGTTCCATACTGTTCAATCCTAGACCAGGGGTATCCAATTGAAGGGTGTAAATGCGGGCCTGAAGATCCAATAACAATAACAATCAAGAAATAATGAAACGAAGATGATGAAAGCCACTGTAGTTGTATTATCTTGGCAGCGTAAAGGCTAGAAGGATGTTACAATTATGGAGAAAATAGTATTTTGGCTAGTCTCACTATTTTCAATGTTGATTGCTTGCCTAGAAATCTAGAATACAAGAAAGATCACTATTTATACATAAAAGGGAATTTTGTCACCTTTCTCAGATCAATAAGAGGCGGGAAGGTGGACAATACAGCCAAATATGGCCTTTGTGCACTTGACACCCCACACCCCCCCCCCCCGCCCCCTCTACTCCCACTACCTTTGTGTGCTCTGCCGCATGCCCTAATGACAGGTGCCCCTACTGCTGTCTTTGTCTCTTTTTCACGCTGGATTTTGGCGCATGCACCCATGGCCTAGTCTTGGCTACTTGTTAAGTGGGTCAATGGCATTGGCCTGCGGGGTGGTTGGGCTCATCTGTGCAGCATAACGCCAACACATACTTTTCTCATAGTTATTCTAGCCTACTATGTGTTGTTTTAAAGTTCATTGTTTTACAAGTTAAGAAGCTATATCATTCTTTTGTTGCTTATTTAGGTGTGAAGGCGACTTATCTTCTTGCAGTAGCATTCTTAGAGATAATAAGATTTAGTAGCAATGGTGGAATCCTCAATGTGCACCCTAGTTCAACTGCTTCTCGAAGTTCTTTCAGCTGTGTTTTTGAATATTTGAAAAGTCCTAATCTTGTGCCAGCTGTTTCCCAGTGCTTGACAGCAATTGTGCACAGAGCTTTTGAAACTGCATTAAGCTGGCTGGTATTTATTAGTTCTAAGCTTCTGTAATGCTTTGTGCTTCTGAAAAACTTGCTTTGTCTATATAAGATTGTACAATGACCTGGAACTTTCATGCTTGCACCTTTCATATGATAAGTATGTGAGGACAGGAATTCATTTTGCAACAAGCTGACTGATCAAGTAAATTTTTAGATTATATTTACGGTCTAACTCGTGATACATGTTTGTCAAAAAAAATGTTAACACGAGTATTAATTTTTTTGGACTTTTGCTTTCCAGTCATCTACCCTATGCCTTTCAAGAAAACTAGAGACTGAAGCATAGCCTTGATACTCTGAGTATGCCCCAGAATTTTTTTAACCATTCAAGAACTTTATGTTTGTAACCAAACTCTTTTCCCAGTGTCACACCTTGCAGGTTGTAGCCACATTTCATGTTCTATGGAATTTCAGCTTCTAGTGAGATGTATCTTAAGATTATTATATATAGATTAGGAATCATCATTTATTATAAATAATTGAATAGATAAGTAAATAAATACTTTTAATGAGAAGAGATACATATTGACACTCAAAATTGATAATGAAAGGAAGAGTTATTGCAAAGCTTTTTCATTTCCTACTGCATTATGTTTTTGTAGACCATTTGAATTGAAAGTTATTAATTTTACACAGTGATTGGGGAAACAGATGTAAACTCTATGCTGTTTCTTTTAATGTTTAAAACTCCATTATGTTTTTGTAGACCATTTCAATTGAAAGTTATTAATTTCACACATTGATTGGGGAAACAAATGTAAATTCTATGCTGTTTCTTTTAATGTTTAAAAATATTGCAGATCATTAAGAACCAGTGTCCTTCATGTTTGGCAATTAAGTGTACCTCAAATTCCACTCAGTTGTTATTTTATTAATTTGAGTTTTTATTTAACTTATTTACTTATATGCAAATGTGATTGATTCTTGCATCATGTTGTAGGAAGATAAAACATCTGACACTGGCCGGGCTTCTGAAACTCGAGAAACTACTCTGTCTATCCATGCCTGCTTTCTCATAAAAAACTTGACTCAGAGGGATGAGCATGTACGAGATATCTCAGTTAATTTGTTGAATCAACTTAGAGACCGGTTCCCTCAGGTTCAGTCCCATCACTACCATTTTAGGTTATGTTTTGTACTTTGTATTTCCTTCAGGTGCTCAGTATTTCCACACAAATGTTTTATATTTGTGCAGATTTTGTGGAACTCTTCTTGTCTGGATTCACTGCTGCTCTCTGTTCATAATGATCCTTCTTCAGCTCTTGTCAATGATCCTGCTTGGGTTGCAACTGTTCGTTCTTTGTGCCAAAAGACTGTTCGTGAATGGATAATTGTTTCTCTATCCTATGCTCCATGCACTAGTCAGGGCCTTCTTCAGGAGAGGCTCAGCGTAGCAAACAGCTTGCAAAAAGCACAACCTACTACAGATGTCGTTTCTCTTTTATCTGAGATCAAGATTGGTACGGGTAAAAATGATAATTGGTCTGGCACAAAAACTGCAAATATTCCTGCTGTGATAGCTGCAGCAGCTGCAGCATCTGGAGCCAATTTAAAATTGACTGAGGCATTCAATTTGGAGGTCCTAAGTACTGGTCTTGTTAGTGCAAATGTAAAGTGTAACCATGCTGGAGAAATTGCAGGCATGAGACGTTTATATGAATCAATTGGTGGGGTTGATCCTATGTCTACATTTGGAAATGGACAGAGTCTTGATCTACCAGGCTATGGATCTGGAACTCTCACTCAGAATCCACAGTCCAGAAATGGTTCTTTTTGTGAAGTACTGCTTACAAGATTTGTGCGTCTACTCCAGAAATTTGTTAACACAGCAGAGAAAGGTGATGAGGTAGATAAATCATCATTTCGAGAAACATGTTCTCAAGCTACCGCTTTGCTTCTTTCAGATCTGGTAATTTTAATCTTGATATCTTGTTCAATTTTTTTTTTAATAATATTTTAAAGCTTTTGTCCCTCATTACTACTGTTGAACTTGATGGAATATTGTATTTTCAGGGATCAGATACAAAATCAAATATTGAGAGCTTTTCACAGCTTTTACGTCTTCTTTGCTGGTGCCCAGCTTATATCTTAACACCTGATGCCATGGAGACTGGTATATTTATTTGGACATGGTTGGTTTCAGCAGCTCCTCAGTTTGGTCCTCTTATCCTTGCTGAATTGGTTGATGCATGGTTGTGGACGGTTGACACTAGACGAGGTCTTTTTGCATCTGAAGCACGGTGTTCTGGTCCTGCTGCTAAATTAAGGCCTCATTTGCAACCTGGGGAGCCAGAATTACTGCCTGAAAAGGGCCATGTTGATCAAATAATGGCCCACAGACTATGGATTGGATTTTTTATTGACCGCTATGAGGTTATATGTTTAGATTTTTATCCCAATCACTTATTTTTGTAGTGAAGGTCTGCTCTTCAAGTGATCTATTTTCTATTTTAGAATCCACTAACATTAATGACTTTCTATAATCCTGTTTATTTTCATTCCTCAAGACACTATGTTTCATTGAAGCAGTGATACTCTTACCTTAATTTGAGATATTTCAGCATAAACTAGACGATTTCACATATCTCAACACCTGTTTATTTTTTGTAAATCACCCTAGCTTTATATCAATTCATGCTAAGAATCTGTTCGAACTTACTTTTATTGATCTGGTCACTCAAAATCCATATGGATTTTTAACCTTGACTTTTTTTTTTCCTTGAATATGTGTTCAGGTGGTTCGCCATGATAGTGTTGAGCAGCTTTTACTACTAGGTCGATTGTTACAAGGAACCACAAAGCTCCCCTGGAACTTCACTCGTCATCCATGTGCAACTGGGACGTTTTTCACTCTCATGCTTTTAGGGCTAAAGTTTTGCTCTTGTAGATCCCACGGTAGTGCACAGAACTTCAGGTCTGGGCTTCTGCTACTGGAAGACAGGATTTACAGGTAGATTGTATTCTGTATGTATTCAGAATAGCATTTCCACACCTCACAGCACTCTCTCATGCCATTTTCTCTTTCTACAATTTACTTGTGCATAGTTATAGTCTGTAGCCTAGGTTCAAATATATAATTACATAAAGCAGCCTGTAGCCTCTCTCTAGCTTGTCAAATTGGCAGGTTTGGACATAATCTTTTTGATCTATTATCGGATTTCTATTTGTTGTCCAATATCTGAGCAAGAAATTTGTTTCCAAACATAAATTCACTTGTGGTCTTTCTAAGTTTTTATTTTTTGAAAGTTCAATTGGCATTGGTCACTGTTTGTTCTGTGACATGAGGGAAGCTTGTGATAATGGAAGGAAATGAGTCTTGAATTTACAACATCTGTATCTATGTCTATCCTTATTTTGATCCTTTGACTTATTCACTTTTCACTGTTTAAGTTCTATAGCGGATCTGTGACTATTTTTAGCACTTAACCATATAAATTGTTTGTACATAGGTGCGCTGAGATTTTCTGTCAATAAGGCTTTATTGAGATTGACAATTTTTGCATTTTGGTGACATTTAGCATATTTTAGTTATTTCTCTTGCTCATTTGTAGGTCCGCATTGGGCTGGTTTTCTCATAAACCTGATTGGTTTGACATGAGTAATAACAATTTTGCATTGAGTGAGGCTCAATCTGTTTCTGTGTTCGTCCATCATCTTTTAAATGAGCCACTGGATACTCAGGTTGATACAAAGGGACAGGGTGCTGAAAATGGAAGCTCTTCGAATGATGCGGTAAGACCATTCTTGTAGCATAGATTTTACCTGAAAGGTAATATCAGACATTCATTCTTGAATCTGTGATTTTGTAACTGCTATAAGAACAGAGAAAGTTTCTGCCAAACATAGCACCATTTTTATCAGGAAATGATATTTGTTTGTTTATTATTACTCTGTATTATATATATATATACAAAGGTATTGCAAGCAACTATTCGGATGGTTGTGCATATTTCAAATTGTTCATAATTTGCATGCAGAAAGATCAGTATCACCCTTGCAAGCAACTATTCAGATGGTTGTGCATATTTCAAATTGTTCATAATTTGCATGCAGAAAGATCAGTATCACCCAGTTTGGGGTAAGATTGAGAATTATGCGGCTGGAAAAGAAAAGCGGAAGCAGTTGCTTTTGATGCTATCCCAGAATGAAGCTGATAGGCTTGATGTCTGGGCACATCCTGTTGCCAAGTAAACTGTGGTCAATTGCTATGTTTATTTTCAGACTTTGTTTCTGAAAGGCAGCTAATTACCTTTAAATATTTGTTACATGTTAGGGAAAGTGCTTTGCGGCCTAAAATTAGCTCAGAGAAAATGGTTGACTATGCTAAGACTGCTTTCTCTGTTGATCCTCGGATAGCTTTAGGACTTGCTTCAAGGTATCCCACAAATAATGCTCTGAAAGGTGAAGTGACCCAGTTGGTTCAGGTATACACTACCAACACTTTTTTGGCTTAAAAATGAGTATTTCCATTTTACGATTAGATCTGGTAATTGGTAAATGCAAATGTTCTTTTTCGTTAAATTATGAAGTATCAACTTAGGGGAAAATTTGAACCAGTTCATCATTGACAATTCTGCCTTTCAGACTTTTGTTATTTTTATTACTTTTTTTTTTTTTTTTTTTTTTCAATCTCATCCTTTTATTGCAAAGTTTATATTATACTTGGAGCTGTTCATTTAGGTAAAATTGATCTCCAGTTACTTGTTTGCTCCTATTGATGTGACTTGGGTTTCTTTTATTCCTATTCCAGTCACACCTGTTGGAGATTCGTAACATACCTGAAGCTTTGCCATACTTTGTCACCCCTAAAGCCATTGATGAAAATTCTTCACTTTTGCAACAATTGCCACACTGGGCTGCTTGTTCAATCACAATGGTTTTGGATTTCCTTACACCCCCATATAAGGGTCATCCTCGTGTGATGGCTTACGTTCTAAGGGTGCTGGAATCGTATCCTCCTGATTCGGTGACCTTCTTCATGCCTCAATTGGTGCAGGCTTTAAGATATGATGATGAGGTGCGTTATCATCCTTGTGTTTAGCCATTTGGATGTGCCATAGTAGAGAATATCTTGCTAGAATTTAAGTAGAAAATAGTTCTGACTTCTGATGCATTTTCTGCATGATGGGTAATTGTTGTGCAGAGGTTAGTGCAAGGATACCTACTCAGAGCCACCACACGGAGTGATGTATTTGCTCATATTCTGATATGGCATTTACAGGTGCAAGAAACTTTGCTTTGTTTATTGATTTCTTTGAATGTTACTGCCCTTATGGATCATCCCTGGCTTCTTTTCTTCATGTCACTTTAATGGAGAACCAATCAATATAAGTATCTCTTGCTTCAGATAAGCATGCTTTAATACACCTTTGAAAACTATTGACTTCTTTAAAATAATAATAATAATCAGGGAGAGACCTGTGAACCAGAGGCCGGAGTCGAATTAAGCCCAGAGGCTGCTGCAAAGGTATGCCTGTGTAATTTGTTTTTCAACTGATTATTTTAACACTCCAGGGAGAAACTGGTCTTATTGCTCTTTTAGGGCTGGCTATGTTTAACTAAAATTCACATGCTGTGAAACGTAAACATATCTTATTGAACTTCAAGTATGTACCCTACTACCCTTATAGCATGATAATTGTAGTTCCCTATTATTTGATTATTGGAATGTCTACTGAATACCTTGAATTTTGTATGTTCCTTAACATCTCTGACGCTACAACAGAGAAAGACAAATGCCTTGTGTGGATGTTAGTTCATACAACGCCAGTTATTTCCTTTTCTGGGAACTTCTCCCTTTCCTGGAGTTTTAGGAGCCACAACTCTTTCCAAAAAAAAAAAATAATAATAATGAGGGAGGGGATCCCATAAGTGCCATCGTGCATTTTCTTTCTTTCTCTCTCTATGTATACGTAATACATACATACATATATTTATTTATGCACATTGTGTGCATGTATAAGAAGAAGAAGAAGAAGAGCTCTAATCACCTGAATGTTTTTTGTTGTTCTTCAGAATGCTGCATTTCTGGAACTGTTGCCTGAGGTTAGGCAGCATATAATTGATGGTTTCAATGACAGCGCTCGAGAAGTGTTTACAAGAGAATTTAATTTCTTTGACAAGGTCACATCTATATCTGGTGTTCTCTTTCCAATTCCAAAGGAGGAGCGACGAGCTGGAATTCGTAGGTAAAGGGAATAGACATACTGATCAACTATTTCCTATTTGAATCTCATATGTTTGTCTTGGAAAGAAGACTAAACCATAGATTTTCAAATTAGGGAGTTGGAGAAAATTGAGATGGACGGAGACGACCTTTATCTACCTACTGATCCCTTTAAACTTGTCCGGGGTATTCAAGTTGATAGTGGAATTCCCTTACAATCAGCAGCAAAGGTTCCTATCATGATAACATTTAATGTTGTGGATAAAGACGGGGATCATAATGAAATAAAGCCACAGGCATGCATATTCAAGGTAGCAAATCCATTTCTAAATGAGAACTATAAGTTGATATGACAAAAGGAAAAAAAACAACTAAGTAGTTTGTTTTGTAAGCTGTCAATTTAACTTTTATGTTCAACTAGACAAAGGTTTTTTTTTGTTTTTTTTTGTTTTTTTTTGGTTGTGCTACTTCTTGTCGAGGTTAAAACTATATACAAAATATTAAATGTGTACTCTCACACATCCTTCAATTCTTCTTTCATCTTGTGTAGGTTGGAGATGACTGTCGGCAAGATGTTCTTGCTTTACAAGTCATTTCACTTCTCAAGGATATCTTTGCTGCTGTTGGGCTAAAACTTTATTTGTATCCATACGGAGTTCTCCCAACTGGTCCAGAAAGAGGAATAATTGAGGTGAATATTTGTTTTATCCGTTCAAGTGTAAAGATGCATGTGCTTTTTAAATGTAAAATATATTAATTTGAAATGATGAAATCTGAAAAATAGAACCGCATCTATGATCTGTCAATAGTTAATAGTGTGAAATGATGAAGAAGATTAGGAAAGTAAAGGTAAGACAAAACTCAAATGGCAATCAAAAAAGATAATTTTTCAAATGTTAGAATTGAGGATAATTTTATTATACTGTCCAATGATCTTACATTTAAATTTTCTGCAGTTTAATAGTCTTGAGTGTTTCTACAACTTGTATTGCCTGCATTATTCATAGATGCAGGATGTATACATTTTGGCTAAGCATTTATTCAATATTCCCTCCATTTCACTGGAGATTGACACATCTAACTTGTTGTCATTGGAATTGAACAAAAATGTTTTCAAGTTCAACAAGTAATATTAATACAAAAGCTAACATTTCTGATTCTGAAAATCCAAAAGCATCACTATATATTCCTGAAAAAAACTGGAAATTTTGAATAAAAAGTCAAATGTGGCTGGCTCCAGTTTCAATTCACTGATAAAGTGGGATTAAAAATCTCTCAAGTCTTTACTCATCAGTATCTGCTAGTACTGATACTTGTGTGGTCCAGATCAGAACCTAAATGATAGTAACTTCAAAATGCAGAATTGCAGACTTGTTGGGTATTATATTTGATTTGTTTGTGCATATTTGTGCAGGTTGTACCCAACTCGAGGAGCAGAAGTCAAATGGGTGAGACAAATGATGGTGGTTTATATGAAATTTTCCAACAGGACTTTGGGCCTGTTGGGTCTCCCGGCTTTGAAACTGCTCGTGAGAACTTCATCATTAGTAGTGCTGGCTATGCAGTTGCTAGCCTGTTGCTTCAACCAAAGGATAGACATAACGGAAACCTTCTATTTGACAGGTATGGACCAACTTATAATTAAATTTCATGCAAATTAAAGTGAAGTGTGTATGATGATATTTGAGTGAAATTAAAATGGTAAATGCAGTGTTGGTAGGCTTGTTCACATTGATTTTGGTTTTATTCTGGAGACTTCTCCCGGCAATAATATGCGATTTGAAAGCGCTCACTTCAAGTTGAGTCATGAAATGACTCAACTAGTGGACCCATCTGGAGTGATGAAAAGTGAGACCTGGTACCAATTTGTGAGGTGAGGTTTAATTTGTTGTTTGTTTGTGAGACAAGCTAAGGTGTGATGAAATATAATGGTAAATGAAGTAGGTGTTTTGTATGCAGCTTGTGTGTGAAAGGGTACCTGGCTGCTCGTTCTTACACGGATGGAATTTGTAACACGGTATTGATGATGTTGGATAGTGGGTTGCCTTGTTTTAGCAGGGGTGACCCCATAGGTAACCTCCGGAAGAGATGTCACCCAGAAATGAGTGAACGCGAGGCAGCCAACTTCATGATCCGTACATGCCAAGATGCCTACAACAAGTGGACCACTGCTGGATATGATTTGATTCAGTATTTGCAGCAAGGTGTAGAAAAATAATTAAGCTCCCTATATCATAAATGTTTTTGCAGTTTGGATGGTTAATTAATTAGATCGAGTTTAGAACACTAGTAATAATGAAGTTATAGCTACACATTGTGAATCACGACCACAGCTCCCGCGTCATGCTGAGGAGGATGGACTACGCTATGTCGCTATCTATATTATATTTTCAGAGAAATTGTTTCCAATAGTCATATCAAAGATTTTAGTCAATTAATTATATTCTTACTCAGTTTATAAATTATTACTCTATCCAGTTTTTCTCTTTTAATTATGTGTAAAGTGACAGGTTTAATTTACTATTATATTTATTAATTAACATGCACATTGTCCGACTAAATTAATGTTGAATATGAAAATTAAAATAAGTAAAGAATTAATATAATTTTTAAATATATGAAAATTAATTATTATAAAATAAAAATCATTATTTTCAATATAATCAAAAATTAATATTTTAGACTTGTGATAAAAAATAATAAGTAGTAGTAAAGATGAGTATTGTTGTAGATAGTTATAATTGAAAATAAAAACCATGTCCTTATCTTTTTCATGTTAAAATAAATTCAGTATTCTTAATGCGATATTAGTAAACACAATTGATGAGTTGGTAACACTTAACTGCAGATGGTGTATTCAATCTATATTTGTATAGATGAATTGATCAAACTTAACGAAGGAGACTGTATTCTATCTAGATTTGTATGAGTATTCAAAATCTTTTAAATACTTTAAAAGTCTATTATATTCGATCTAGACTTTTATAGAGTATTGATATTCAATTCAAACTTTTAACAAAGTATTTATAATTTTGTAGGTATGCGATCCATATTTGGGGTAAGAAAGTCTTTAAATTAAAAGCCTATTGATATTCAAAAAATTATTCTTTTTTACAAAATTTGTTTTTTTTTTTTTTTTTGACTCTATTACAATGTAGTATCTGTTCATATACTTTCTCAACCTACTGAAACATAAAGAACCAATAATGCTTCCACTGAGGCTCGAACTCACAATCTTCCAAATAAAAGTCCACCCAAGTACCATTAGACCACATAGTCTTGGTTTTTACAAAATTTGTTAAACTATGACTTTTGTAGACTTTTTCTTCTATAATATAACTAGTTGAACTCAATTCTTCACACCCCAAATTTCTAAACTTTTCCTACAAACTTTTTCGCTCTAAATACCTCAACAAAGGAAATTTCCATCTATCACCATCAAATTTTACTATATGTTTCATACTATTTCTATGAATACTTGTATGAATTGATTTTTTTAATGCTTTTGACTCTATTACATTGTAGTATATGTTCAAACATACTTTCTCAACCTAATGAAGCACAAAGAGTCAACAACACATCCACACCTCCACTGAAGCTCGATCTCATGACCTACCAAATGTGAGTTCGAGCCTAATATTTCATTTTTACCTAGTTAGTTTAGAAATAAAAACTAAAAGTTTTCAATTAAATTTAAAATGCTCTATGAAGAAATGATAGGAATATGTGTTTATTGTATTTGAACTTGGAGGACTAAGGTTCAATACTTGTGCACACTATTATTATTTCTATAATATGTCTTTTGGATTTTTCTTTGCACACAGCTATCACTTTATTATTATTATTACTAGTATTTTGATTTGTTATAATCTTTAAGAATATTTTGATGAATATACAAATATAAATTATAACAACGAATATTATATAGTGCAATTGATGAAATGAGTTGTACCGATTATGTTTTTTGATGTTATCCTTGCTTGAATTCGAGCAAATAATTGCCCAATTATCCGTGCAGTGCGCGTGCAATGCACGAATAAAATTTTTTATTATATATTTAGTAATAAAATTGTTACTGTTTCTTTAATCCTTTCAAAATTTGTTAAATATTCATTCAAATACATGTGAATACGTATCAATACAGAACACTACTGAAATTTTTTGTATGAGCAGAAACGGACATGGGGACCGTTTCTACATTAGAGAGAAATTAATGGTCTCCCCGAATATGCTTTTCCTTGGTTGATATCCGATTAGAATAGTATAGATTAGAAAAAAATTACGGTATTAGTTTTACAGATTTTGATTTTGATAGGGTCTCATTTATTTACCCGAACATGCCACAAAAATCTAAAAATCGACCTGCATATATGCTTTAATTTTGTTATGTTAGACTTCTCTTCTCCTTTGATTACACTAGCTAGCTTCACCACATGGCATAACACACGTTGATGCATACCATGTTTCGTTATATGATTGCATATATATCACTGATCTTCTCTAATGGCCGACACCTCCCACATTATATTGTGATTAATATATTTTGTGTGGGTTTGGTATTCTATAATTTTGTTTATCTTGAAAAAAGAATAGTTGGATTCCTTGGGAGGTTAAGGTGAAATTCCTTTAGGTTTAATTTATTAACCCATACAAATGATATTGATTCTCCAAAAATAGTAAAATTTTAAACTTCTTTTACTCAAGTGTCGATACTTATTGAGAATATAATCGTGACTGAGTAAGTTATTAGCTATTGGTCATTATAGATTTACACATCAAACAAAAATATATACATCAATTCTGGTACCCGAATCATCACGTACACATGAAAAAAAAAAAACGCATTTTGAACGAAAAAGAGGTTATACTTTTTTAGTGCTGGGAAAAAATGTTGTACAAAAGGGATGTGAGAAAAGAATTTTTACGAGTATCTTATACGATGACAAAATGGAAGAGAAGTGTGGGCTGCCAATATGCCACCCATATGGCCATATGAAGAATGATAACAACTCCGATATGATCCTTGCTATAAATGTAGGCCATGGAAAGATACAGATCAGAGCGTGTGAAATAAGAAAGCTATATATGAAGCATATATATATATATATATATATATATATATATATATATATATATATATATTAGGACACATTTAACCCTTTCATTGCATGCACATGCATATGTACCTCACTGGACCAGAAGTGCTTCCCAAGGACCACTCCACTCTTGTATATATTATGCCTTTTGTGGTTGAATTGGGTTTTAACTCTTCATTCTAACTATACAACTTTTTTCAGATGGCAAGTAGTGACCCTCCCATGTGGGAGGTCATGAGATCGAGCCTCTGTGGAGGTGTTGTTGACTCTGTGTGCTTCATTAGATTGAAAAAGTATGTTTGAACAGATACAACAATTTAATAGAGTCAGTAGCATTCAAAAATAATAATAATAATAATAATAATAATAATAATAATAATAATAATAATAATAATAATAATAATAATCTACTATACATTCCCTTGAGTGAATGTGTCACGGATACAATTAATCTTATTTAAAGTGAATAATGTTTTTTTAAATAATATATTTGACTTTTAACCATGCATCATAATTCATATCAGTCCTTCAATTGGCAATTAAAGCTAATATGGTCCCAAATTATTCTAAAGAAGTGGCTGCATATGGACCATCTTTGATTTTGAGGAACAATAATAATTGTAATGATACTATGTGTACCAAAATATGTATGGGAATTTATATTTTGACTTGTCTGCTAGTCAGCTATGAACAATTTAAGTTGGTCCTTTATCGTCTAGGGTTACAAGATAGGTTTTATCAAGTGTACACCTTAGAATAGTAGTGATTATGAATTTGTCTCGTCACTCAAAAAAAAATGTCACTATTTTTCTCCCAAAAGGTTAAATCCGCAACTGCAATGGTTTCCCTCACCCCGGCTCGACAGAGTATTTGAGATAATGTAAATCACGGTAACTTAATGGCTTAGCAAACTGGGCCAAATGAAGGTGCACACAAGGGAAATATTTAAGAACAGTTTTGACTCTTACCAATCATGGGAAAAAAATCATTTAACCATTGATTAATAATTTAGAAAAAGAAGAAGAAGAATTTCCTAATCTTCTTCAGAAATATTCATGATTAAACAAATGATATATTCAACGTCATCCTACTTATCATTTTATCCTTTTACTTAACGTGAGTTGGAAACTTGGAATCGTATATTTTGAATAATGTATAAATTAAAAATAATTGAGTTGGGTTTACAGTTCAAAAAGCAGTGGTACATAAAAACTTTGATCAAACATGGCGTGCTGCCATCTTACACTTGTCCAGTAAGTAGAGGACGTACTTGTCTGATCGACTTCTCCATATTTATATATTCTTCCTCAAAGTCAAAATCCCATTCAATTCCTTGCTTTAATTTTGTTTTTTTTTTTTCTTTTTAATTCAATCATTTATATATAATAATTACAATGTAGAAATTATTGTATGTGCACAAATTCAGGGCATTATATTTTTCTTTGTCCTCAACAACAATTTTAATTTGTCACGCACCAATTATTCAATCCAACCAAACCCTTGCTACTAATTGTCTAATTGAACCAAAAGTGGTGCAGGCTCATGTGACCGGGTGGAACGTAATTTTTATACCAGATGGTCAACATAAGAGATTTCCTAGTACAGTTAAATCTTCATGTGTGTGAACATGTCTAATTATGTCCATTGTCTTTGAGTGAATTCTCTAATTTCTAATTACGAATTGAAGTTGATTTTAATTTCTTGAATTAGATGAATTCTTAATCTTAAAACTGACCACATGCGAATCACTTTCAAGTTTTACATGAACAAAATATCTTCGCCAATTTAACAAAACTCCTACCTAATTAAAGTTTTGCCCAAAGTTGATATCCCCACCCTCCACAAACAAAGAAAACAAAAATACAAATCTAAAATGGTCCCTTAACACGCTACAATCTAGAATAGTCCCTTAATACACCACCAGCCATAGTTACACCTACCATACATTTAACACTTCCATTCCTATTCATTTTAACAATTAAATAAAACAACTTTTCCAATATTTATTTTTTTTTCTCTTGAGCTTAGAATAAGTGCACCCACTGTATCCCAAACTTTAGGAATAATATATATTATTCTACTTTAATCTTCTTGTTTCCCACATTGAGTTTACATTTGGTAGTGGCGTTAGGCGAGTGTGGAATACAACATATTTATCATATTTGAAATATACAAATCATTTCATAAAGTCCCATGTCTGATTATGGTCCAAAATGACTAGCTGTCCAGTGGCTAGAGGACTACTTTACTGTTCCATTCTTTCTTTTTCGTGCAATACAGTTTTGAGTCAGAAAACCAATCTTTGGTTT